CCCACACAGCTCAGTGAAATGTTGACTTTATTTGATAATTTCAGTAAAAACTAATGTTCATATTTTTCTTTTTGATTATAATACTGATGAACGTTCAAAACAAAGCACTTTGGCAAGTTACCACATACGTTTTAAAATGCTTAATAATTGGTGAATACACATACTTTACAGAGATGCTGTATGAGAAACCAATGTGAGTTTGGAAAATTGCACAATATAAATCTATTCTAGTAGACCTCAACAATGGAATTATGATCAGTAGAAATGGCCATGACATGGGATCTTTAACACAAAAAGATTTTTGATAAATAATTATCAGAAATGTTGTTAAAAGGGCTGAAAAAGCAAATAATAGAACAGTTCACTGAAGAAAAAGACACTTGATTAAATGTATCTTATTTTTATAAATTAATTTTGTAAATAAATACTTCTTATCTTTTTCATCTTGTATTAACAACGTTTAAAACAAGTATGTTAAATTCAATGAAAAGTTGGCAAAAATACGTTAATGATGCTTACGGTTGTTCAGCAGGATAATCTGGACATATTTACTTCAATTTTATGATTTTTGAAGAGTAAATACAAACTCCAGAAGTAAAATGCCACATGATGGTCGCATGACTTCACGTAACCATCGCTAAGCCAAATGTGGCTAATATTTGGTGTGATGACATTTAGTAACTTCATAATTGTCACGCGTGTGCAACCGCTGTTTTAAAAGGCACATAGAAGCTTTGAGAATGCACATTTGGGGTACTGTGGTATTTTACGTAGAACAATACGTGGAAAATGAACAGGTCCAACCAAAAACACGTTTAAAAAAACCAAAAGAAAATTGTACAATGCTAACTATATCCGGGTTTTAGGACTAATTCCTGCACCACACAAACACCTCTTTGTTAATGTTCTCCTCATATTTCAAGCGCTTTCGCAGCAGGGGAATCATTACAGTCTTATCCGGTACCTCTGTCCACTCGGCCACCTCCCACTGTGGCCCACAGGCGGGGCTCTTGCAGGGCCGTCTCTCCACAGGTCTCTCCAGGTCGGCCATGGTGCAGAGGTCGCTGTAGACCGAGCTGTCCAGGCCCGGCGAGAGCATCTTCCAACAGCGAACTTGGCGAAACTGGAAACCCTCCCCGCAAGTCCTTGAGCACTCGCTCCAGCTGCTCGCCTCCCATCTGAAACACCACATTCATCCTATCTCATCAAGGCTCTGTACAGTTACATTCAGATTGTATGATTGCAAGAAATATATCTGGCACAATAAAATGTTTCATTGCACCTGGGCGGACATTCCCTCCCAATACAGAAGTCGTGGACCGGCTCCGGTTTGGTCAAAGAGTCACAGTACATGTCGTGCACCTCGATGCCATCATAGCGGATACATGTGACGAAGGATTTTGACACTCCTGGATTGTGAGCAAAAGAAAATGATTTGTATAGCACATTTTAATCACAAGAAAACTAAATTCTACATGTGAAGTTCATGTAAAGGATAATATGCAGCGAGCCTGTCAATAAAGTTAAAGGGAACCCGACAGGGTGAGCAGGACCCTGACGCAAAGGAATGGGATGTTGAATCTCCCTGAAAGGATCAGGGTTCTGTCTGTTTAGATTTTCCTGTTAACACGATTCCTCTAGTGTTCCCTAACTGTCTGTTTTCTTCTGCGGATTTCTCTGGATGTTTGTTAACCACTTTCCTTCTCTTGCACTTCTCTACTAGGGACAGTTTAGCCTTCCACAAATACAAGTATTCCATGGATTTGTTTTCCTGACGGAGAAAGTGAAAACAAAGCTGATGTTAACCGGACCACTTCACTTTCAACTTCCTTCTTCAAAATTGAGCTATCGAAATCGTGTAGTCAACTAAGCCGTGTAATAAGGCAAGGCAAGGCATTAAAAGAAAAAATACAAGAATAACAGTTACAGTGCAGTTTAAGATATGAATAGTTCAATTAAAAGCAGCGGCAAAAAGAAAAGTCTTCGGCCTGGATTTAAAAGTAGTAAGAGTTGCAGCGGACCTGCAGGACCCTGACGCAAAGGTAGTTTGTTCCAGATATTTGGAGCACAATAACTGAAAGCTGCTTCTCCATCTTTAGTTCTGACTCTGGGGACAGAAAGCAGACCCNCGTATATATTTTTATTTTATTTGAGAGGTTCAAAATTTCGGGTCGCGATTTATTGACAAAGGAGTGGTTCTCAACTGGTCAGGCCTCGGGACCCACTTTTTCCTTTGTCAATAAATCGCGACCCGAAATTTTGAACCTCTCAAATAAAATAAAAATATATACGCTTTTCAGCATACAATATGAATTAAAGTGAAGTGCATATATCCCAGAACTAAAAGTATGCTTTCAAAGAAGGTCAATGAGATGATGGAATCAAAGCTGAACTGTAAAACATAAAAAGGCACGCATGCTGAAAACCCAGCAGGGGGGTCTGGGGGGAGTCTCCCCAAGGAGATTTTTTGAAATACTAACATATAAACTACGCATTCTGGTACACAAAAATCTATTGCTACCCGACATATTAATAATATGTTATGCCATTGTTTCTTTTCACTTTGTTCGGACAGCTTGCTGCTCCACACAGAGAGAAGAGCAAAGAGGAGATAGTCTGTGTGACTTAGATAGCTCCCATTGTTCTGTGACCTGTCAATCATCAGACCGGGGGTCATATCTCATTATGTGTTCCTTTTTATCAGAAGTTGTACCCATGGATGTATAAAGAAGAGTTCTACCACAAAGTTATTCTCCGTGGGGACTTCCGGTAACAATCTTGATTCGAAAAAACATCAGCAAAGAAGTTTTATTGAGAAGATGATCACTACGTGACAGAAGTTTTCCAAAACCGTTTATGGTCTCCGGTACTTCCAGTCCAACGCCGACTGCATGCACAGCGTTAGAACATCGGGCCTTCAAAATAAAAGCTTGACTTGATTTTTTTTCTTCACTCACATCTGCAACCCACTCGAAATGCCCACCAGTTGAGACCCACTGCTTTAGTGTATACATATAACACAGTAAGAGACATTCAATACCATAAATAAGATAGATACTTTATTTATCCCAAATATGGAAATTATTTTTATTTAATGAGAGCATATTATAGAGAAAATGTAACCAAGCATATAAAAGTGAACCGGAAAAAAAATAAAGATATGAATGTTTCCTTTCAACTATTTTTTATTCATTATTCTGGAGCATTCCTAACCTTGAAAACATAACTGTAACAATGTAGGCATTTCCCAAACGCTCAAGACTTTGTATTAAACGATACCTCTTGCTGAAAAAACAGCATCATTAGAAAATAGGTGTGTGTGTGTGTGCGTGTGTGTGTGTGTGTGTGTGTGTGTGTGTGTGTGGGTGTGAGCGAGACTGTGTGTGTGTGTGTGTGTGTGTGTGTGTGTGTGTGTGTGTGTGTGTGTGTGTGTGTGTGTGTGTGTGTGTGTGTGTGTGTGTGTGTGTGTGTGTGAATCTCAGCTAAAAGCTCACCTCTTTGCACTGGCTTTTAATACTAGTTGAGCATAGCATTTTGATATTTCTATGTGTTTCTATGTGTCTCTAGTTATTGTGCTTTTTAACTTGTTTTTAATTATTGTTTTATCAATGTACTCCTATTGTGTTATTTTATATTTGTTCCCATTACAGCACTTTGGTCAACTGATGTTGTTTTAAATGTGCTGTGTGTATGTGTATGTGTGTGTGTGTGTGTGTGTGTGTGTGTGTGTGTGTGTGTGTGTGTGTGTGTGTGTGTGTGTGTGTGTGTGTGTGTGTCTCACCTCAGCCAGGCGGGAGAACTTCCTCTCCGGTATGATTGGTCGTCTCCACAGGTTGTTGATGCTGATGTCGTGGGGGGGCGTGGACATGGGGGCCTCCAGGTTATCGTCGTAGCTGAGGGCTCGACGGGTCATCCCGATGGGAAGCCTCATAGCGCCCATCCCGGGGCCCTCGATGGCTGCGGACACAAACAACAACAACAACAACAAGTCAACAACGGCTTTTATCTTGTCTTTGTGTTGCAGAGAGCAACTGTGATGCAGAGCGAGGCAGAAAACAACTGAAATCAATGCATTGGAACGAGGACAGTCATTAACTGCCAACGCACCCTTCAGCTGCACGCTGTGAGGTGAGTGGGAGAATATGTCCACAGCACACAGGGAGTGAAGTGCAGAAGGGATGACATGCTTTTATTGGCTAATCGTTCAAAGTTAGTTTTGTAGTGGTTTATTAAAAGAAATAGACTGTGCCAAAAAAAAGTGCACGTTTTGCTCCATGACATAATCTAAAAAGAAGCTTTGATTTTTTCGTTAAAGATTAAATAGCCAAAAGTAAAAGGATAACGTTAAGTTAAGTTAAAAAAGTTCATCATGGTCACATGACGCCGTCAAGGTCATTTCCCTTTGCTAAGACCAAAATACACTGCTGTTTTCCACCAGCGAGAGCAGGGCACATAATGAACACCACACACTGATAACATATGCAAATGGCAGGAAGACTGGCATCCCTTACCAGCTTCAGAAAACATTGGTAATTTATTGATGGGCTGGAGAAATGTTATCTGTTGTGCGTGTTCTTCCAAAATAAATCTCACCTGGTATGTCCCCCGAGCCAGACATGATTTCAGTAACGAGGAATAAGATCAGTCGGGAGAGGATCTGAAAAAAAAAGATACAGAGAGATGTCTATTATTATTATTAATAAACATTTATATTAGGGCTGTCAAGTTAGCGCGTTAATAACACAAAACATTTTAACGCCACTAATTATTTTAACGCATGTCGTTTCAGAGCGCATCGAGTTTAAAATACCATCTACAAGCTGAGGCTGACCCGCTCCTGCCGCCCGCTTGCCGCAGACCACACTTCCACGCTCACCGGAGACTATTGGACTTCACTTGCTAGTAGAGCCTCGCAGATAGGGGTGCTGCAACCCCCTCAGCATCCCCCCCCCCTTCCCGCGTCCATTCGCGATGTCTCGCTGTCTCGCAGACCCCACGCAGCAAACAGGAAATGAACCCCTCATCTGTTTGTCATTACTGGGGTCATTTTCTGGTTGCTAACAAACGCCATTGTAACACATAATCACTGATGTTCCGCTGTAACGGTGGTGGACTCATCAGAACAGAGTGGGCGAGCTGACCAATCAGAGCACAGCGGTGATCCACTGTTGTGCAGCTTTAAAAGAAAAAGAGGATTGGCTGAATGGAACAACGCAGTCTCCTCTTGTTGACCTACAGGTGTGCGTATGGTGATGACATGTCTGAGTGGAGGTGAGGTAAGGCCGTGTATTATTTTGTACACGAGGCAAGCATTTGCATATCTAATTACATTTTCCCAGCTCAACAAGTCATATTTTGTGAGTATTGGGCAATGATGAGAATACACTGATTTCTTATCTAGTATTTTAAGTGTTTGTTTGTATACTGACTCCAGGGGTTTAAGAGTGGTTGTACAGGCATGTGAGCAGGCTGTTAGGCAGTAGGTGATGTGAGATAGAACCATAGAGTGCATCTCTGTTGACAGAGGCGGCTTTAAGTAAAGGATTTAAATGCTCTACCTTTATGAATGTGTAACGTTAGACCGACTGGTAGAGTAAAAGGATTTAACTCAAGCTTTTGTTTTATGTGATTTTCATGAATAAAAGAAAAGTGATATTCTTAACACAAATTCTATTTATATGTATATAGAGTCCAGCATTTACTTGGTCACTTACAACATTCTCTACATTATTTATCTTTTTGTATTTGTTTATCTGAGATGTATATATAGTTGACTTCATCTGCATTACTTGCATTGTTCTTGAAAGGGAGCTCATCCTGTTAGAACCAGCTCACTGCAGGGTTTCTCCAAATGATCATAGGCTGCATTACGTAACCGCTGCTGCATCAACAGGGAGCCTCACAGACACCTGAGCTTTACTCCAAAACAAAAGCTTACATGGGGTCATGTTGGGATGATAAAGCAGGCCTTGCAGTTTACACATAAGCAGGTTGTTTGGGAATTACATGATGAAGACAAGGCCGGTTGTCAATAGTTGCAATTAAACATTTTTAACGATCCTTTCTAAAAACAGGTACATTTAAATGTAGCAAGTATGTTGACATGAATGTTTTTCTTACCATTGTATCACAGAATACAATTAAAGTAAAACACATTCTTCCTTCACTCACTTTAAAAATGGACACTATTTGCAAAACTACATTGAAATATTCGGCATTTTAAGCTATTTGAGAAGGGGGGAAATGGTTATATTACTGTCTGGTGGCTTAAAAACCAACATAATATCCCGGTGAATTCTGCAAATATGAATCACATAATAGCACGTTTATTTCCAAGATTATTCAACAGGCTTGTTTGGTGTGAAAGGAAACACACATGTTTCCTTTAACAGGTACTGCAAGGTGTATTTTAACCAATTTTAACTCATGCCGAATTGAAGAACGTCTACTACACACAAGCAAAATGTCTAAAAACAAGGTTTACTAATTAAACACGTCAGCTGAGAGCATATGCATGGTTAAATTGTATATTTTCCGGTTGTAGTTTGGTGGCAGCATGCAGGGTCGACGGATAGCGGAACCGGTCGGAGCTGGATGAAGGACAACAAGATGTCCCATCATCTGAGGACTAAAACCGGTTGACAACAGGATGCTCTCAGCGTAGTGTGTCTTGTTTTCACTTACCAGAAGAAAAGGATTCTTCAAAGAAAAGACTGGGGCATCTGTGACCCTGCAATGTCGACTGGACCGCGTTGAAAACAATAGAGAAGTCGGATAGCAGCCATTCTTATTTCCGATAAATAAAAAAGCTGCTTCCTCGCTAGATTACGTTGGCTGATCTCGCTGAGTATCGCGAGAGTTGAGTTTGTATGCAGGCACACGATGATAGATAGATGGAGCAAATATTCTCGTAAAGATAAACATTATTTTACTTTTTTATAATGTGGGATTTTTTTCTTTACCTTATCTGTCAGATAACATGGTTATTCAATTATATATATTTATTTTGTAATTTTAGGACATACATTTGTATTCATAATAGCAGAGACAGTACTGAATAACTGTTTTTATTTTTATTTTATCGGACACATTAAATGGTTATTCCAATTTACATCTTTATTTTGTATTTTTACATTTGTATTCATATAGCAAGAGAAGCACAGGTTAACTGAATAACATACATTAATGTGAATCAAATAAAATACTACGGCTTTAAAGGTCCCATGGCATGGCCATTTCTGCTGATCATATTTCTATTGTTGAGGTCTACTAGAATAGATTCAAACAGTGCAATTTTCCAAAATCACATTGGTTTCTAATACAGCATCTCTGTATAGTATGTGTATTCACTCTCTGTCCTAAACGGCTTGTTGGAGCCAATCTGGTCATTTGTTGTTGATCTGGGTGTTCACACGTCACAGAACCCAGGAAGAAACAAATGGAAAAAGAGAAATCTCCAACGAGGCGTTCTGGGGCAGCATAGACAGGTATTTTCTGTGTTAGAGTTTTACTCGCTACAGGGTGTACTTTGAGGGTTTGTGACTCTGCAGACCGTTTACATGCAGAAAAACCTTCATAACACTCAAGGGGACGGGTAATAACCGGAAAAGCATGACATGGGCCCTTTAAAATATTTGGAGACACTGAAAATAAAGGTAAATGCATGAGTTACTGTGCAGGAGGCTGTGAGCTGTATCATCAGTGGCTGTCTGTTTCCACCTAGTGGCTGGTTCAGGTTTTTGATTCGATCTTTACCATTGGTCCAGTAGTGCTGGTTGTTGAACCAACTCTTTAATGTTATCTATTTTTAAGCATCATTTTCATATATGGACCCCATTCATCTTCTATCTTATATTTATTGTAGTACTTGCTTTCCTTGATAATTTTATTTATAGGCATTTTCTATTTGATTTGATATAATAAGCCTATAATTATACAGTTACCTCACATTATGAAGTAAACCTCACACAAAATAACACATGCATGAATAAATGTCTTAAAAACAAACAAACAACGCAATCGTAGTTATAGAGGTAGAAGTAGTAGTAGTAGTGGTATTAATAGTAATAGTAGTGGTAGTAGTAGTAGTTTAGGTGGTGGTATTGGTAGTAGTAGTATTAGTAGTGGTGGTAGTAATAGTACATAGTAGTATTAGTAGTGGTAGTAATATAGTAGTATTAGTGGTGGTAGACTACTACTAGTAGTAGTAGTTGAGGTGGTGGTATTGGTAGTAGTTAGTAGTAGTAGTAGTTGAGGTGGTGGTATTGGTAGTAGTATTAGTAGTGGTGGTAGTAATAGTAGTAGTAGTAGTAGTAGTAGTAGTAGTAGTAATAGTAGTAGTAGTAGTAGTAGATAGTAGTAGTAGTAGTAGTAGTAATAGTAGTAGTAGTAATAGTAATAGTAATAGTAGTAGTAGTAGTAGTAATAGTAATAGTAGTAGTAGTAGTAGTAGTAGTAGTGGTGGTGGTAGACTACTACTAGTAGTACTAGTAGTAGTAGTAGTAGTAGTAGTAATAGTAATAGTAGTAGTAGTAGTAGTAGTAGTAGTAGTAGTAGCATTAGTTGTGGTAGTAATAGTACGTAGCAGTATTAGTATTAGTAGTTGTGGTAGTAGTACAGGAAGCTTTACTTTTTCATTTTTTTTAATTGTATTTCTTAACTTATTATGTTTATGTCACATAAGTACACCGAGGCAAATTCCTTGTAAAACCCATTTAATAACAACATAAACAACTTTTAATAATCAGGGAATCCCTCTATGTCTAAATGAACTGACTGTAACTGTTATAAAAGAGATAAGTTGCTTACATAATAATAAGTATCCATGTTGACGGTGCAACAGGTGACTTCCTGTCAGCTGAGCCTCCTCCCACCTCCACAGCAGTAGTGAGGCAGAGGAGCGGAGCGCCTCCCTCACTTTCTCAGTCTTCCCCTCCACGGAAGAACTCCTCCAACCGGACTTTTCTCTCCAGTTTGCCAAGAAGAGGAGGAAGTAAACCCGAGGTAGTTTAACTTTTCCCACCGCTGAAAAACACGCACAGGGGAACAGCTTGATTCGCCTACTCTTCCAACTTCCAAACTTTCTTTGGTTGTTCTTATTTTTCCTCCCTTTTTCGGTTTTGTGGATCCATCAAGATGTCTATGCATAGCACCCAGAAGACGACGACCTACCGGACCGTGAAGGTGGCGGCCGCCTCCCCGGAGCCGGTGGTGAGCAACACGGTGATCTCGTCCAGCCCGGTGTCCCCGGTTCCGTACGGGATGAACGGCTCCTATGAGACGGTGCGGTACCTGATGCCCATGCAGCAGGGCATGCAGCAGCAGCAGTCCTACATCCCGGTGCAGCAGCAGCAGCACTCCTACATCCCGGTGCAGCAGCAGCAGCAGCAGTCCTACATCCCGGTGCAGCAGGGCATGGTGCAGCAGGGCATGGTGCAGCAGGGCATGGTGCAGCAGGGCATGCAGCAGCAGTACATCATCATGCAGCAGCCCATGATCCAGCAGCAGCAGCCCATGATCCAGCAGATGGTTTCCCCGATGTACCTGCAGGGAATGTCCAACCTGAGCGTCAGCAGCCAGGACACCACCGACCACATATACCTGCAGAACAGCAGGCATGAGGTGAGCCCCACGGACAGCTGATTAAAGGCTTTTATTATTGATATTCTGTGTGTTTATAATGCAAAGTTAGGTCTACTATCTCAAAATAACAATTACAACATTATAAAAGTCATTATCTCAGTCAGTTTCTCATTGTTAAGAGATTTTAGGGGAAAACATGGTGATACTAAGTCATTAATGTGTGGTACTAAGTTATTATTATTATTATGAGATCCTAAGTTATTGTTTCGAAATACTAATTAATTTGAATTATTATGTCACACTAAGTCATCTATTTGTAATACTAAGTCAGTATTTTGAGAAATCAAGTCATTATTTTCTAATACTAAGTCAGTATTTTGAGATATTAAGGCATTGCTTTTTGCTATTCTATATATTTTTTATATGAAGTCATCATTTTGAGTTTCTAAGTCTTTATTTTGCTCTACTTAGTAATTATTTTGAGTTGAGTTAGCATCTCAAAAATATATGTAATAATACAATTCATTTTGGAGATGAGAACACGTTTATAATTAGCAGAATATTCATCTGCTGTGTGAGAAAGAGTCCACACACCAGGTACTGATCCCAGTGAGCTGTTACATGTCTGAGATTGTTTATTAGTGTGTCAGTCACAAAGGTGAATGCATGATGTAACAGCTGTCAGAAAAAACCTCAGCAGACTTCTGACACTGTGCATCACATTCTTACAGTTAATAGCCAGAGATAAATATGTGAACATAATAAATATATGAACAAGCTTTTGCCACGACCCCAAATGCACATTTTAATACAGAAAGGAGAGAATTAAATGTGTTTCTATACAAAATGATTGATTAAAAGTAAAAATCTGATTAAGTAATGATGAATATAATTGTTAGTTGCGGGCTCAATGCTGTCCCCATGCCTTTCATTTCAACCGCTGTCAATTAAATGCTACAATGCCAAAAAGCATTCTTAATAAAAAGAGAAACACAACATCTTTCACAGTTAGGAATATAAATTTAACATTTGCCAGATCGGGTAATTTGATGTGATGGACTTGTACAATATTTTCTAGCTGTTCAAATGACAAAACATATTTTTAATAATTTGACACGTTGAAAAATACAAAATGATACAGCAAACACTGATGTGCAAATCTAGCTTGTGCTTTTGTCGAGTAGAGGAACCGGTTGTGCAGAGTCTCTAGATGAGTTTACAGCAGTCCCTCGTTCTTATTAAACATCCATGTTGTAGTCCGCTGTATAGAAAACTGTAGTTTCCCC